AGTTATGTGGAGTGTGCATGTGTGTGTGTACGTGTGTGTGTGTGTGCGTGTGTGTGTGTGTGTGTGTGTGTGTGTGTGTGAGATACGCTACACCTGTGCCTGAGTGTGATCACGGCCAGCTGCTCCTGCCTCTGTGTGTCCTGCTAAGTCTGGGCCTGAGGGCGGGGCAGTTCCCATCCTTAACCACCAGGGGGCCCTCTGGAGAATGTGTGCCACTTGACTAAAATTCACTTCTCAACTCTAAAATGGAGTTAATAACGGCTTCAGAGCAGCCCAGGGTTACGCGTATGACATTATAATAGAAGAAACTGAGGCACGGAGAGGTCACGAGAGCTGCCCAAGGTGACACCCCCACAAGCGCAGAGCCTAGATACGATACTGGGTTTCTTTGTCACCAGGGCCCACGCACCTGGCCTGCCCATAAGGATGCCAGGCGTATTGTCCCCTGGGGGGTCAGAGAGGCCACGCGAGCTACGGGAAAGAAAAGTTCAGAGTCAAACACATGTCCATGTTTCCAGAGGGTGTGAACAGGAGCGTGCTGGCTTGTATGTCTGTGACTGTGTGGTCAGCCCTGAGTCTGTTTATGCATTGTGTGAGTGTGTGTGTGTGTGTGTGTGTGTGTGTGCACGTAGGTTGTGGCTCTGTGTAAGGGCAGCTGGGTTGTGTGCTTGACAATGTTTCTGCTCGTGTATCTGCCCCTCTGTGTGCCCGTGGAAACGTGTGTGTACATAAAATCTTTGATGTTCATATTTTTGAGATAGGTAGGGGTGCCGGCTAAGTGTCTGTTATGTTTGAGTGTGTTTATGTGGGGTGTGTGGTGTGTTTCTGCACAACCATCTGTGAGAGTGTTTTTGCAAAGTGTGTATCTTTTAAAATTTAACTTTATTTATTATCATTTTTGTTTTCCAGTTTGATCAGAGAGAGAGAGAGAAAGAAAGTGAGAAAGCAAACCACCAGGTCCGGGACTCGAACCACGGTCAGACATGTGGGAGTACGGTGCCTTAAACCACCACGTCACCTGCTGGCCCCGTGAAGTATTTATCTTGTGGCTGCTGGTAAGAGCAGATGGTTGTGTGACTGTCTCTGTGCGGGCATCCACAGGAGGGAGTGCGTGTAAGTGTGCTTCCTGGGTGTTTCGTGCCTGGTATGTGAGGTGCTAGTTGCGTAACTGTGTCTTTGGGTTTCCTCGTGGGTGTGTTATTCTGTGTCTGCCTCTATGTTTGTATGTGTGCACATACATGTGGTTGTTTTATTATTTTTTTTAATGTTTTTACCTTAGTGTGTGTGCATTCACCAGAGAGAGATAGTAAGTGGGAAAGAGAAATTGGGGGGGACGGCCATCCCACAATCCCTTGCCCTCCATTCTCCTCCTGGGATTTTGGGCATGTACACACATGTGCCCAACATGGTTTTAAAGCCACTGTGTCTGGGACTCGAACCGTGGGTAGGCCATGTGGGAGTCCAGTGCCTTAACCACTACGCCAACTGACCCCACGTGGTCAGTGTATTTGGGTCTTTGGGTTTGTGTATGCCTGTGTGTATCTGTGTGTGGTGTGCATCCCTGGGGACCTCACAGGCAGCAGCAGACTCTGTGTGCACCCCCACTCCATGCACACACACTGAATTCCATCCCAAAACAGTCTCACGGTGCTGCCCAGGGCTCAGAAAGCACTGGGGGCAGACATCAGTGGGCTTCTAAGCATTTGGGGCTAGGTGACCTTAGGTCCCGGCCATGTCCAATTCCCAGGAAGCTGAATCATTGACACTCATGGCCCCGCCCCAGCTCAAAAGTTCTGAGAGCACGAGTGTATGCCTGCGTGTGCGTGCGTGTGTGTGTGACCGCAGTCCAGTCCCCCACAGTCCCCGCCTTTCCCCACACCGCTGCCTGCTGTTCTCATCTGAGCTGAGAGAGTTAACCTAGCGGGCCAGGGCGGTCTGGGCTGGGGGCCGCCCCCTGGCCCCCCTCCAGCCCCGGCTCCAGTTACAGCCGCTGGTTGGGGAGGGCAGGCTAGGGTGGGGCTGGGAGGGGAGCCTGCCGGGGCAGTGCGTCCAGCTCTGGGCCAGGGGGTCCAAAGTGCTCAGCCCCCAGGGCACAGCCGGACATTTGGGGGCCTTCCTTCAGCAGGGGACAGCCTGACTGGGGTGAGCGTCCCCACCCCTCCCCTCCAGGCCTCACCCCTCGCCTGGCTGGGCTGCCTATTTTGGGAGCAGG